TGGGTTCTATCTGTTGTGCACAGCTGGTTCTATCACCAATGAGTGTAATTGCAAGATTTCCTCTGTTTCTGCCAACAAGGGATTTTGTGTAACTGTATTTTTTATGATCCTTCCCTGTTAGAGGGATGTGAGAATGAGCCCTTTATTGTGGCCATCCAGCTGGTGCCCACAGTGCTGTTAAGCAGACCATTCTGACCTGCTTCCAAAAACTGCTTCATTAAGCATAGCACAAAGTCTATCTTGATCCCTAAGCTCCTTCAGTGATTTTTTTAATATAATTTTATTAAACATTTTAAAAAGGAAGATAAAAACTAATACTAATATAAAGTAAGAAGATAAGAAAAAGAAATTAGAAAGAAAGCTAAAAGTGCAAGAAAAGGAAAAAAGTAAAAGAAAAATAGAAAAGAAAGAACAAATACAAAGAAGTGGCTTCTGATCATCTTTACAGCAGTTATAAGTACAATTATAACTTTACCTCTTATTCTGAGGTTACAACATGATTCTCTTCTTTCTATTATCTATCCTGTATAATCATCAGAACCATAAATCACAAGTTCATTTTTTTCTTTTTTATGCAAAAAAGCCATAAGGGGTTTCCAGTCAATAATAAACATAGATATTGTCTTTTCTCTGATCAAAGAAGCCAATTTGGCCATCTTAGCAAGTTCCAGTATCTTCACCAACCATTCCTCCATTGTGGGTAATGCCAAATCTTTTCATCTTTCTGCATACAATAATCTCGTTGCCGTTATCATATGCAAAAACAAAGTTCCATGACTTTTTTCCAGCTGTTTGTCCATCAGTCACAAGAGGAAGGCTCCTGGTCTCAATTGTATATTAATCTTTAAAATCCTCTGAATCAGTGTATGTCTTTGAATCCAAAAATTTCCAGCTTTTTTACACATCCACCAAGCATGATAAAATTTCCCTTCTTGTTGTTCACATTTCCAGCATAAATTTGAAATAACATTATACATTCTAGACAATTTCTCTGGTGACATATACCAACAGTACATCATTTTATTAAAAAATCTCTTTTAAGATTATAACAATGTAAATTTCAATCCTTTCAACCACATATTTTCCCATTGCTCCATCTGTATATTATAACCAAACATTTTAGCCTATTTTATCATACATTCTTTCACTTGTTCTTCTGTTTCAAATTTCAATAAAAGTTTATATATTT